CGATTAATGTTCTTCTGACGATTAATTGCACACAATACGATTACGCCCAACCCTAGGGAGTAAGTGAGCACACATAAAATATTTGCCAAACAGCTTATTTTGCTGATTTTATTACACTTGTTTTTAACTTCTGGGACCCCCAGGTAAAACCAGTTAGGTTTCCGCTATAAGATTTACTGTCAAAAAGCACCAAACACAAATTTCCTTACTTTTTGTGCAATGTATGGTGGTGGCCATCTTGGATTTTGATATGGCAACCTCATATTCGACAGGGACCTTTTCTTACAACGCAGTACTTCCATCTCTCATTTGCGCAGCAGCCTACTGAACTGAGCTCATTATTGCTCAGTGACAGGAAGAGATGGCAGCATGACTTTKCCCCAAATGAAACACCGATAAGTGATACAGCAGAGAAACTCCTCAACCCAGAACAGACACTAAAATGAATTGTTCTGCAAAGGGAAATACAAGCACTAATCAGGACAAAAAAAAACACTAAAAAAGGTAAAAAAAATTCAAACAAAAGTTGTGTGATTTTGAGCTAATTTCACTTGTAATATTAGTATGGTTTTATTAAGAACTCTTAATAAACTTAAACTTAAATTAATTTATACATAGAAATAGACCCTTTTGTATTGTTATTTTTTAAGCACACAGGATTGTGGGTAGGGGTCAAAAAGATTATCCGATATCAACAAACCTGCATCGCTGTTAAAACCTTTTTCGTTTATCTGCTGACTMTGTGAGTGATGGCAGAGAAAACACTGGKTGAGGTGAAATGTCGGAGCATCAGTGCACGGTAGGACTTTTTACCAGCAAGGGCTCTGTCACAGATTGTGTAGTTTTTAAGTTTTTATTTGTAKAAATARGATTTTGTAACTTGCAACAACTTTATTTTTTAACAAGATTCTGATTTACATAATTGTGRATATTTACCACTAAAATWTGAAGCAGCAGTAAGTTGGAACTTGTGCACCCGTTAATGAATATATACARAATAACCTTGGCCACAAAAAATGCRACCAAAACCAGCTTAAAATTCAGATTTCGTTCCTGTCATTGTTTGACCTTAAGGGAAARACAAATCAGTTCAGAAAACATCAAGTCTGTAAATATATCTGTTGAATCTGATCAATTCCAATGGCGTTTCCTCAGCAGCTGCAGTTTTTATACTGTCTGACCTCTGACCCGGCTGCTTTCTGCATTAACTACAAAATGGTCCATTGCAGGGGTCTGCAACCTGGGGCTCTGGGGCCATACGCAGGTCTTTGAAGCTTTGACCAAAACTAATACGAGATTAAACTTTTTGGGTTTTATACTGCATCTGCAGTGATGCAGATGCTGGACCGATCCATCATGGTGAAGCGATTTACCAATTGGTCTACGTTCCTTCCATCATCTATGGTCACGAGCTTTGGGTAGTGACCAAAAGAACAAGATTGCGGACACAAGCGGCCGAAATTAGTTTTCTTCACAGGGTGTCTGGGCTCTCCCTTAGRGATAGGSTGAGAAGGTCAWTCATCCGGGAGGGAATCTGAGTAGAGCCACAGCTCCTCCATGTCAAGAGGAGCCAGTTGAGGTGGTTCATCTGGTTAGGATGCCTCCTGGACTCCTCCCTGGTGAGGTGTTCTGGGCATGGCCCACTGGGAGGAGGCCCAGAGGAAGACCCAYGACACACTGGAGGGACTATGRTTCTTGGCTGGGCTGGGAACACCTTGGGATTCCCCTAGACCAGTGATTCCCCAACCAGGGGTACGTGTACCCCTTGGGGTATGCAAGCAGATTACAGTGGGTATGTGGAAAATTTTTCCCAGGTGTGTAAATAACTAAATAAAATTAGGACTGGGATATGTAGAGCCCTATGATTTCCACAATGCAGAAAATGCAGACTGAATCACGGAATTGACAAAAATGGTATCCAGTATAAAACACAGAATCTCACAGAATTTGCTAAACTGGGTGAGTTTCTGACGTATTTTGGACGCTGCTGCTTCCTGCACCTGCCACTACCAGGTTTATGTATTTAATTACTCATTCACTTTCAAGGCAATGTTTTTAATTTTGTTTAATTTGAGTTGAAAAGAATAAAATTTCTGAGGATTCAACATCCTAGGAGGTTAAATATATAATTTTCATTTAATAATCAGTTGTAGTACATTATAGTTTTGGAGAATCATCATTAC